TCTTTAATCTTTTTACGCTTATCATATCAATATATACCTATGACTAACAGCATATTTTTTTTAATGTGATAATTCCAAAATTACCCCTTTTTGTTCCCCATGTTGCTTAATTTTGTACACCCAAAGAGCATGGCCAGTCTTTTTTAATAAAATAAAATTAAAAATACCCATACTAAGCAAATTTTCAGTTAATGTCAAATTACCTCTTTTACATATTTTAAACTGATTGCTCGAATCTTATACATATTTTAAGATCTTTAATACAGACTACCCAGTAAAATACAATGAAGGCAAGAAGGCGCTGATCTAAGAGGGATCCTTATCTAAATCAAATGCCCTTTCGCTACTGGAAGGCGTTTCAAAGGGCTTGGTGTTTTTATAAATAAGATGCCTTTAGAAAACTCCCTTTAAATAAATAGTAGTGCTGTCGAATTATAAGTAAACTAAATTACTAGGTACGTCTTAACGGTTAGTATGAATTAGATAGACTATATTTTATACGATATATAGCCTATAGCCTTTTTCAATAAGCCGGCTATCTAATGCAAAAAGAATTTTTCAAATCCGATTAGCAGTTCCTAAGATTAGCGCGTTCAAACAAACAAACTCTGCCTCTTTATAATAATTGCATAGAAATCTCAACGTGGCATCCATACAATGTACATATTGTTTTATTGAAAAACTAAAACAACTAAAATAAAATGTATAACATTTAAATCAAATAATCGATACTATAATTTTTTTATCATTACTCAAATATGTGTCATTTATAAATAAAACGTAATTTGATAAAGCGATGCTTTGGAAATGCTTTAAAGAATTCCTAAACACTTTCTGTTTTATTTGACCGACTTTAAATTCGGATGTATATTTTCTTCTCTACGTAAGTCGCAATGAGTTTATTGAGTGAGAAGCGATTTCATTCTTTTAACTCACCAAATAAAGGGAGACGTGAAAAACCGGTATCATAATACTTTATCATTTTATTTCTTCTTAAGTGGAATTTCTAGCAGATTCCTATGATTCTTCTATATTGTACGTAAATGTTAATAAGTAATCTAGTGTAACAATCTTCGATTTTTGGAGTGATATGCAGTGCCAGCTTATAATGGAGTCACTGCGTATGTAGTATGTACAAGATAAACGTAAGGTTTCTTAAATAAACATCTATTGGAGTAGTTCTAACCAGAACACTGTAAATCTTATTGAAATTGTATTTTTAAGGCTTAGCGGCAGTGTGAGGGCGTCAACGTAAATTTAAGATAGGAGCGGTACACTTGTGTGTACGCGTCGCCCTGCTTTGTTATGTAAATAGAAAATCGAACTTCACGATTCAAATAGAAGGAAGATATTTACTGTATATAAATTCGCTATATATATTTTGATGAAGATATATATACTATTCAAATGTTACTATAGATTGTTTAAATGTAACCGAGAAATTGAGGAGCGTTAAAGTAAGAAAGTACTTCATTTAAAAAATAATAATAATATTATAAATTATATTTAGACAGTTCAAAAAAAAATATTTATACGAATTTTGCCAACGCTTTTCCTCACTTTATGGGTAAAAGTTTAACAAAATTATTTTTTTTCATAATTACCAATTAAATTGTCATAGAAAAAGTCAAAATATCAGCCCTATTAAATTAGTGTTGATTAATAGACCGACTTTATTTATATTCTTATAGAATAAATATGTTATCATGTATTTAGCCAAACAACAACTATGTCACATTCTCCAACCACGTAGCATGTTACTGGGTAAAACAATGATAATTGAATAAACAAAGAAAACACCTTTTATTTAATTTAATATTAAGCAGATATAGGATGTCTATACGAACCAAAAGTATCTACCTTATCTATATAATAAAATTTACAAATCTGTACATTAAACATCTTTTGGAAAATCTTATTGAAATAGTCATTGCTATAGATACTGAGGCCGAATCTATAGTTTAAGAATTTTTGTCTGTCTGCCTGTTTGTCTGGGAACCCATCACGAGAAAACCACTGGACAGATTTTGATGAAATTTGGTATGATGATAGTTAGCGAACTCGAGCGGAGAGAGAGAGAGTGAATCGCTAGTGCAAATATATAATGATATCAAAGGTCAATTGTGCGAGGGAATCCGTAGTCAATCTAATGAAACTCGATACATGTCTGGCCGAATTGAGTGCCTTCAATAGTATACCGCACGTTTTGCAGTGAAGAGCGATAGTCAAAGGTATATTTTGTCGCTAATGTACACTTAAAACGAAAGTGGGCTTTGAAATTCAACAAACAGGATTGAAACTCGATACTTAATCGTCCCGAACGCAGACAACAGCTTTGGAGAGATTTCTACGACCGCATAATGCACTTAGCTGAAGTAATGTGAGATGTGGTCCTGATGCTGATATGTTACCAAAGTATTGGTGAACTTGGTAGTGAAATAATATTAGTATGAAGTTATGTGGCTTGTTAGTATTTTAGATACAAAGTGTACGTAAAATATATAAAATTATAATGTGTAATGTGAGAACATTTCCTGATTATTTCTAATTTTTATTTCCGATTTTTTTTTCGGGTCGATAGAGGAGGCATAACATTATTTTAATATTTTTGCTTTTTCTTAAAAAACATTTTATCATAATATATTTTATATAATATTATTACATAACGATCTATATAAAAGTACCTACTTAAAAAAATGGTCATAAATCTATGAAAATCGAGAACAAAAGTGTACTTTGCAAGGTTTTTTGCTCTTCAATTCAAATTGCATCACGATTGAAGTGAAACTTTGAGATGGTGCTGAAGTAGCGAGTCCACCGTTTTAGACGATCGATGTAGCTTAGAGAAAACTAAATAAAACATGAAAATGACATATTTTGACCCCCACGTGGCACAAACACTTAGATTTATTATTTCCATACATATTTTAGTTTTCTACAAGCGATGAAGATGATAGAGGTGAAGAAAAACATCGTGAAACCAATATGTCTGAGAGAACCAAGCAAGTATTCGAAAGATAAGTCTGGCAATACTTAGCCAGCATGGTGGATTATGTTCTGATCCCCCTAGTATTATAGGGAGGTCCGAGGTTCGTACTCAGTAGTGGAATATGCATACTCGTATTTACATAAACAAAAATAACTTAAAAGAAAACTATAAAAATCTTTTCATACAGGCAACTCCAATAAGGTAACCTTGCTTTAATGTTATAAACACTGCGGTAATAACATATATGTATGTAGTCTGTAAAATATTTTACTGACTTTCTATGGTTTTAAATATATAACCTAATATTATAGCCCTGTAAAGGTAGGATACAGCAGAGGAGAATGAAGAGCGTTTTACTGAGTAATAGTGTTCCGATCTCAATCTGTGGAAACGACAGTTTAAAAAAAATTTCTTTACAAATATACGAAACAAAATTAATAGCGTCCAAAGTAATACATCAACTTTAGCACAAAAGCTGTCGTTAAAAATTATTATAAAAATGATTTATTTTAACCTCTCTGTACCATAAATCATAGATTTCTTCCAATACAAAAGTTCTAATATATATAAAATTGCAAAGGGACACATCTGGCATCGCACACATTGGGGCATCCCTACGACAGGAAAAATGTTTTGTAAACTTTCAAACACATGTGTACTGCATACTGAGGGCCTATTAATGTTCTAAAATACGCCTAATAAGATCTCAAGATTTATTTTTAGGTGCTTTATTCTAATAGCTTTTTGTGTTTATTTTAATGTTTTATTTGTTTATTTTGGCGTAAGTAAAGAATGGTTAGCAATCGTTTTTAAGTTAATCTTAGAGGTAGAGTTATAGTGAACTAGCGACTCACAAACGCTTCGCGCGGGTTCGTTCCTAGGTAAGTTTTGACGCATAGTATAGAATATGATGAATTTTATATGCCTTACTTGAGAAATGATTGATTCCCATACAAACTTCCACCCCCTTTTCACCCTCTTAAGGGATGATTTTCGGGGTAAAAACAATCCTATGTCCTTCCCAGGGTCTCAAACTATCACCATACCGATCTAAGTCGATGCAGCTGATTAAGCGTGAAAAGATAACAGACAGACACACCGACAGGCAGAGTTACTTTTGCATTTATAATATGTATTAGTATGGATTTTATATTCCACCGTTGTAGTTTAGCTTGACATAGTTTCTTAGTTATAATTTTGCTATCGTTATAATAAAAAATTAACATTTAACAGCATAGACTACTTATATTTTTAAAGATTTTTTAACACAGTTTAATTTAGTTAAACTCATTTAAAAAAAAGAAATTTATGTTTTGCAAAGGTCGTAATGGCTCACAGGGAAGGCTTTCTACTTTAAACATTATTAAAATTGAAGACTACATAATACATATACGTACTAACTTGCATAAGGTCTTTAAATAAAGAGTCACGCGTATAATTAAAAAAAGTAAAGAATAATAAGGCAGTGGTAGCCCAGTGGTAACGCGCTCGCTTGGGAAACCGAGTGAAGCGGGTTCAAATCCCGGGTCTCGCACCTCTGATAATTTCATGTGCGAATCATTTATAACATGATTACCACTTGCCTTACGGTGAAGGAACACATCGTGAGGAAACCTGCATGTCTGAGAAAAACCTAGCAAGTTTTCAAAAGACATGTGAAGTCCACCAACCCGCACTTGGCCAGCGTGGTGGACTATGGCCTGATCTCCCTCGTACTGAGGAGGCCCGTGCCCAGCAGTGGGACGTTAAAAAAGGGCTGAATACAAAGAAAAATAAATGATGATTAAAAAAACATTGAATATGGACTTAACCGATTAAACAATTCACGTTTTTAACGAATACATATAAAACAGACATACAGCCATAAATTTCATACCTATAAATATACGAGTATAACTGTTCCTATATATATCATATCGTGTAATCTTTATTTGATAGGTCAGATAACTAGTATTGTATCATTAGTTTCGGAAATAATATTTCAAGTGCGATAGAAAATGGAGAAGCCTCAGGTAAGATGAGGAGATAGGGCAGTTTTGTGACCGGCAGGGTCCACTTGTACGGTGTACACGTTTCGTAGGACAAATTCCTCGAGCATTTCTTTCTAGTAAAAATAGTATTTAATTAAAAATGTGAAATAGACTTTCTGTAATATATGGAATATTTATTTTTATTTATATATTATTTGTGCAAATGTTTATAAATTAAGATTTTTAAACTTTTCTAGATCGGTATATAATGCCGCTTTACATTGGTGAAATCCTATTTCTGAAAGTAGGCCCTACAAACACAAACTCGACTTTAATTTATAATATGTAACGAAAACTAAAGTATATTAGTATTTATACTTAATAGCTACATAAATTTTGTTTAACGACCATTTTGATTAATTATTTTAGTATGTTGAAAAAGACATAAATAAATTTCGATTACTCTAATAATTATATCTACATATAATAAATTAAAAGGATATTCTGTACGTCATTGGTTTAGAAAATAGAAATTATTTATAGTTTCAAAATATATATTTGTAAACCGCATAAAATACTTTTGTTTTTCAGCATTCATGGACACTTCACACAATAAAAGCCCACTTTTTTCACCGATTTGACAGGGGTTGTATGGGAGCTATTTTAAAAGATATAAACTCTCACAAGGGACAACTCGTATCGTGATTTCCTAGTAATGTATTTTATTTATTCATGTTTTTCTTATTTATTTTTATATATAGAAAAAACATGAACTTGCTGAAATTGTACTTCTTGTATGTATCGCGATATTGGCAAAGTAATTTGTAATCTATGAGGTACTCGAAACCTTAAATAAAAAAATGTAATCATAGATATTTTATATGTCCACATTGGATTAAATTAAAAGGAAAAATCATATATAGTATTATCTAAGTGTTTCAGCTTATATTTACCAATAATGTAGGCATTGCTATTAAAATCTATGGGTAAAAACGCCCAGAGCGTACCTCGAGGGTGGCGCATTCATTATCGCGTAGTATCGCGCCATTTTAGATACTAAAACATACCATTTGTAATGTTGTTTACAGAAGTACTTACTTAATGATATACAATCTTTATTGTTATATACTCTATTCTAAAGTTCTGAAAGAAAAATACAAGTGAATTTATAATATATATTTAAATAATACGATTTGTGTCGTTATTTTAACTTTTAAAAGTACATAATACTTTATTTACCTTATATTTAAAATGTAAGGTAGAAAGTATTACGTTTCTTACTAGAAAAGTTTCTTTGAACGTTCAAAAAACGTAAATAAATCGGTGTCGGAAGCAAAATCGATAGGCAAATGAGTGGCAACATCGCCCCGAACTCTTACCGTTTATCCCACTTATCGCCCGATCTACAAATCCAATTTCCGAAATTGGGGATCTATCGAACAAATCATCTGGTCGACTCCATAATCTCAGGATAGTGACTTGCTTATTCTGCTGGACGATATATCTTGAGTAATAGCAGTTATAAGATTATTCACTGCGACAGTTTTGATTACCCTCGTAATATGATTAAGATATTATTTAAGTTTAAAATTGAATTACATTATATTAGATTAAGTTATTTAGGTTAATTTATTAAAAAACGTTTTAACGGTTAGTATTGTATGGAATATTTAGACTATCTTAATGTATATAATTCTTCTGTACGTGTGTTTGTTAACCTACTCCTAAAGGACTGGACTGATTTGGATGAAGTTTTGTGTGTATATTTCAATGGGCTCCTGGATGGTTTGAAAATACAATTGGCCCCGATAGGTGGCACTACGGTCGGTGTGCCCTTCATCATATCCTAAACGGCAGCGACGATTTTAATGATATTTTTTGTGTATGTTTGAGTGGGTCCCTGCCAGTTTTAAATTTACAAGTGGATCCGGTAGGTGACGCTGCAGTCGGCGTGTCACTAAATTTTCATAAAGGACTCTATTTTCCTAGCAATAAACAAATTTAAATTGTTGATTAAATAATAGTATGTTTTGTATGGAGTGCAAAACAGCTGGAGCGATTTTGATGAAATTTTCAGGTAATCTTCAGATTAGCCCAGCGATTCTGTGAATTTTGTTAGCGATCGGAAGTTTGGACGCGGGCGAAGCCACGGGTACTGCTAGTATATTATAAATATATTGGTATTAGCCCTTCACCGGCCAAGACCGTTACATCACCGACTAAGACCTTTCCGTCACCGACCAAAACCGTTCCGTCACCGACCCAGACCACTCTGTTACCGATCAAGACCGTTCCGTCAACGACCAAGACCGTTCCGTCACCGAACAAAACCGTTCTTTCACCGGCCAAGACCGTTCCTTCACCGGCCAAGAGCGTTACGTGACATGCTTGTTTCAATATGGTATGAGACGGTGTAGTGGGTAGGCTCCTTAACCTATCAAATATACCCATAACTAAAACAACACAAGTCTCACCCATATCTTCCTCCCCATGACCTTGCACTCCCCGCTGGTGATAGCGTGCTTGCTGATGATGATGGGCCCCAGTGCGTTTGACTCATCCTCAGTTATCATGTCCATCATCGCTGTTGATGAGAAATCATTTAAATGATTTTTATTTTTAGATTAGAGGTTGATTTAGACAAATACATAAAAGCATAGAGCATCGGTTAAGGCTACAATAAACAAACTATATTGATCATCTGATAAGATGAAATGATGAACATCTCTAAAAAGGTAGTTTTATACAAACTTTCACCCACTATTTTATCGCCTTATAGGATGATTTTCGAAAAATTCTAAAACATGTATTTATTTAATTTTATTGAAGAGCAATTAATACCAAGTTTTAAAAGTAATTCTGATCATAAATATTTTTTGGATTGTATTATTACATGTTTTCCCGTGGGAATTAGATAATCTCCCTCAGTAAAAAGTAGCCTATGTCGTTTTTCAGCCCTCCAACTACCCCCACACAAAAATTCACGCCAATCTGTCACTCCGTTTTGACGTAAAAGAAGGACGAATAAACAAACACACTTTCACATTTATAATATTAGTTGGATTCTGCATACCTTTTACTATAGGAAAATCATTCATTCCCACAGCACAACACAATAAGTGGTTGACCCGAATCGTCTGATTATGGCTAACGCTGGCTAAACCTTACTATTTTTACATATTTAAAACATACTTAGGGACGCGTCCGAACGAAGTGAGGGTAGGTAAGTCACTAGTTAAAAGATTAAAAAAGTCAATAGAACTTGCGATTTTAATTTAAAACTTAAGCAATCTAGGTTTCGTGACAAAAAAAATACATATGTAAAGATAAAGAAGTTAATGAAAGATTACCTAATTAATTTTATTATTGTCCTCTCTCTTTTTGTCCCCCACCCTTACCTGTAACTTTACAACCTCTCGAAAGTTTAAAATCGTATGACGATACCTTTTGAAGAAATATAAGACGTAAATTCACCCTTAGTTTTCCGCTCGGCTAGTTTTAAAAGACCATTAAAACAATATAGACGGTTAGTCTTCGGGTCACGTCCGAAGTAATTTTGAAGGAGATCGCCGTTTCGGGTAAACTGCATTACAATAGATTTTGGTGGCGCAGATGCGATTGTTTCGTGTCTGTTTAGAGAACGTTAGACGACATGGGGCTTAAGTTTCTAGCCGAATATAGGATTACTCTCACAGGTTTTCTTGCCAAATGTAAGTCTACATAGTATTTCAATACATATCGATAAATAGTACAAAATAAAGTAGCTCTTCGGTCTGTTTGTTTGTGCGCTTACTTTTTCTAAATAATAGATGTGTTTTTCACTATGATTAGTGATATTTTGTCCGGAAGGTTCATGTACAGTACGGACATACTAATATTAATAGAAAGTAAAGAAAGTTCATAAGAAGTGCGTGCCGTAATTACAAAAGCCAAAGATTCTAATAGGGCTTGAGGGAAGCGAGGAGAGAGGAGTGACATAACTTTTTCACAGATTAAAATTAAGGTGTAATTTAAAAATAGCTAAATATATCGAGTTATTTATAAGCAGATATAATGAATTCTGGTATGTATAAATTATATTCCTATTACATTGTATTTATGTATTCCTTCTTTTTTTTTGACGACACGTTTGGCTCAGATTGTAGTGACCCTACTTCCTGTGCCAGCGGTCGCGGGTTCAAGTACCGCTGGGGGAATTAATTTGAGTGATAAATACGAATGTTTGTGCTCCAGTCATGGGTGCTTATATTTATAATATCTATGTATGTATTTAAAGTTATATATGTGTAGTGTATCAACCATGGAACTAGATTGTGCTGTGTGTTAATGTCCCAACATATTTATCTTTGGAGCGGTTGAACTTATCTTAGTGGGATTTTCTTAGTAGATAGAGGATTCAGTTGAGAAGGTCATAAATAAATTTTATCATTACGTTCTCTTAATTAATCCACTAAGAAAAATTGCGTGAAGACGTAGAGCATGCATATTTGACCAAAAATATATTTTATTTATTCCACAAAACATTTTTTATACTTTTTGTTTTATTACCGACATATATTCAGAAGCTAAAAGCGCTGAAAAACTTTCTTATCAAGCTCGCAATTTAATTTTTTATGGTCAGTTAGTAATGAAATTTTGGAAAGGAAACGGTTTACGCCGTGTTTTATTCCATCAAGATTCAAACATTCCCCGTCGTTAAAATTAAAGCTAATTAACTTTTTAACTCCGCCCGCCCCAATGGCCGCCAGAGTGTAATTAAAACAAAGCAAAAGCCAACTTTACGCTGCCCCCAGGAGTTGTATATGCGTTTTCCTTTCGAGAAATATAATGAATATGAATTAAATTCAGAGTCCTGGTTTGTTTTGGTATAAAACGTCTATCACGACGTCTAATGAAACACTTAGAATTTACTATAGCTTTAGTTTTTGCCCACAAGATTGATTTTGATAAAATATTTGAGTAGATTTTTAAGATGTATGTATAAGATATAGAATGTGCGATATATCTATAAATATAGAAATAGATATAGAATAAAGGCACCCGCTTGGAAAAGTGTTGCGGTTTCCGACCATAGCTATACGGTGAAGGAAAACATCGTGAGATGTAAAATTGCATGTCCAAGAAAGATTAAGTAGTTCTTAAAATACGTGTGAAGTCCACCAATCTGCACTTGGCCAGTGTGACTATGATTTGATCCCTCTCGCATTGTGCAGAAGCGTGTGCCAAGCAGTGGGACGTTGAAGACAGCTGAATTATTTATTATATATTATATATGTGTATATTTTTAATTGAAAGGTTTTACAAACTCAGCTACCGTAAGTATGTTATGTCAAATGTTAAGATAATTTTTATTACATTTTTAAAATGTTAATATTCTTTAAAGAAATATACTTAAGTTAGTTAACGTTTACTATAGACTTCTCACAGATGAGATATTTTTCCCCGGACCGACCCCGGAGAACCAGCTATCGTCATACCAAACTTCATCAAAATCTGACTGGGGGTTTTCTCGTCATGCGTTCCCAGACAGACAGTTAAGAATTCAAAAAAATCTTTAGACTCGGCTTCTGTATCTATAATAATGACTATTTCAATAAGATTTTCCAAAAAATATTTAATGTATAGATTCGAGTCATATAGAATTTTTTTAGATCTATAGATAATGTTTAAGGCTAAATTTTAAAATAAGTAAGATACATACTAATACTGACCACCTTATTACTGCATATAAAACAATATAATGTTGACTTTCTTCGTCTTCAATATTTCGTAAGTAATTTAAAAAAATATTTAGTAATTTTCTTTTCATTAGTCTTTTTCCTAGAATGTTTAAGAAGGTTTAGTGTCAACTGTCTGTATACCAAGAGTTTGGTAAAAGGTCTTATTATTTTAAAAGTCATCTTTTATAAATTATGCTCAAATACTTCGTGATTTTTGTTAATTACTTTTTAAAAGGCTTTTTTAAGAAAATGTTACTTTATTTTTGATTATGCCATAATTTTAATTATAAATAAATAAAAAAGTATTAATTAACTATATCAATTTAATAATTTTTATGCATAAAAAAACATATTAAGTATTAAATTTTAAGTCTATGACTTATACAATGTTAATCTATAATAATATATTAGATTATAATATAAATCTTATAGTTCTTGAACGCTTCCTGCCCTAGATTCGCGAGAGCTAATACAACTAATCGGTCGAACGTCTAACGCGTTCTTCAATAATTTTTATCTATGTACTAATGTCCTTATTACGGACTATAAATTAGTCTTGTTTTTTTATTGCTCTCTAAACCAAATAAGAGACCCGTAGCTAGAATGCTGCGTAAAATAAGTATAAATAAACAACAAACATATACACTATTCTACTTTTCTAAACATACATATGATGAAATTGTAACTGAGTCGAATCTATACATTAAATATTTTTTGGAAAATCTTATTGAAATAGTCATTATTATCGATACACAGAGGCAGAATATATTATAATTTTTAGAATTTTTATTTATCTGTCTGTTTGTCTGTCTGTCTGTCTGTCTGTCTGTTTGGGAATGCATCACGAGAAAATCACTGGATAGATTTTGATGAAGTTTGTTATGATGATGCTGGTTATCCGGGTCAACATATAGAATATTTTTAGTGCGTGAAAATATCTCAATTCTGAGATATCCATATTAAACGTCAAAATGTAACTAGGGACGAACCCGAGCGGAGCGAGGGTGAGTCGCTAGTATATGTATTTATATAAGAAGAAAAAATAAATAAAAATAAATATTTAATGATTTTAAATAAAACTAAACAAGTTGAATACAAGTTTCGATTAAAATACCAAGAAATATATAATGTAAAAATCTATTCCATCCAACAACCCTCTGAAGTAGCAAGAAGATTTAAAATTCAAAGAAGTTTTCATGCAATTCGCGCACCACTGTTTACATAGGCAATCTGGGGAGGCAGATGTCTGGTGACAATAAATTTTATTGCTGCGTATTCTAACCATAAGGATTTGGAATGGGGTATTGTTTTTAGAATGGCTTAGTATACAAAAATCTGATAAACTTTAAGATTGCTTCTGATGTACATGTGCGATATATCAGTAGTTAATAGTAAGTACTAGCACAGTAAAAACGTGAGTTAACATCCCACTGCTGAGCACGTGCCTCCCTTGAATACGAGGGGATCAAACCGTAGTCTTTTACACTGGTCCAGTGCGGGTTGATAGATATCACATGTCTTCCGAAAGCTTACTAAGTTCTTTGCAGGTTTCCTCACGAGGTTTTGCTTCACAGTAAGACAAGTGGTAGTTTGAAAAATGTGGCAGGTATGGGATGGATGCGAGCTGCCCAAGATCGGGATGGTTGGTGTTTTTTAAGAGTATTTTTTCGTCCAGTATTGGACGGCGATAAACTGAGAAAAAGACAAGTGATAATCATGTTAAAAATGATTCGCAAATGAAAATATCAGAGGTGCGAGACACGGCATTTGAACCCACTTCATTCGGTTTCCCAAGCAAGCGCGTTACCACTGAGCTATGATATTTTATGTTATCTTATTTAAAATTATTCAACAAGATAGAT